ACAGCTGAGCCTTCCAACTGCTATGGGAGTAAGAATTCTCAGAATATGCGTCTTTTGCTACTAAGACATCATCTAGAAAATTTCTAAGATAACAGCATAGTGCAGCAAGGAAAATCAGTTCATTCTCTACTAATTGTTATTCTTTGTGAAAAGAAATTAAGAGCTATACTTCCACATTGGCTGGGCAGGGAGACAGGATGGATGGATTTTTCCACCCTGGCACATAATTTACTTCTGAGCAAAAACATCCTAAACTGCCCATAACACCAGTGCTGAGGCAACTGCACACCACATCCCCAACCTGGCATTTTCTTGCCACAAAAAGAAGTGGCAGAAAGACGCTCCTTTTTGCGCCGGGAAAAATGTGCCTTTGCTATGGTGGCTTTTCAGTGTTTCTGCAGCGCACACCGCAGAAACACCGTGATGCACCTGCTGTGCAGTCAGCAGGGAGACATGATGACGGCTTCAGGTGCTGTTGGGGCATGCACTGTGTATATGCTATGCCCCCATGCCACCCCAAACTCGGCATTTTTTGCCAGTCTGTTTTGACCCTATGTGGTTGAGCATACTTTATGCAAATGTTTGGGAAGATTAATCTTACAGAAACAGATGAGCTTTTGGAATATAATTGAGACTAGTTAAAGCAGAAAATCTCACTGAAAAGTGAACACATGTTGCTCAGTATTTAAAGCTGGCATAACTACATTTGAATATACCCATTAACAGTGTGCACCTTACCAAAGTATTGGTGTTTTGATCTCCAGGGAAGAGAGGAACGTTGCCTTCCAACAATAGCAATGAAACAGGACATTAAAAATATCTCCCAAATACAAAAGCTACATTTATTTCAATTAGTGAATTTTTGGTGGGTTTTCTCCCCTATGAACAAGAATGGTTTCCATAAAAATAGCCATTGGACTTATCTTAGTCAAAAGAGGAAGATAAATCCTTGCCACAAACTGGAAAAAGCCCTTTTCAGTACTTACATTGTTCTTCAGGACTCACAGTGTTTTCACTGGAAATAAGTGCTGTTTATAGCTGCACACTAGCCTCTAGGTCTGTTGATTGTCCCAATAACATTGTTCATTGTTCTAAATCAGAGATGCTCCCTACTTGGTGCTCTCCAAATGTGTTTCAGCTACACATCCCACCATCACTAACCAGTCCCAGGTGATGAGGGTTGTAGTCTGATATATCTGGGGTTCATGAGGTTCAACCAATCATGAGGTTGGTTGGGGGAATTCTAAGCAATGTTTACCTAGCAATCAGAAGATGCAAGGGCCATTTCCCAAAGATACTGTCAGCACAAAGACATGACATTTTTATTTCAATAATAAACTAAGGGGCTATGCAGAGGGGCAAAAAGAGCCAGTATCTTGGTGGCTTGGCGACTGCCCGCTGCCTGCCCCGACTCTACTTCTAAAGCAGCATCACACCACCTGCCCAACCAGATAGCAGGCAGCATGGAAATGCTCCTGTGGTGCAGAAATTACATGCTGTATGTTGCAGGAATAGAAAAGAGAAGCAGTGGTGGTGAAAGGGACACCTTTTTCCAAACGCAAAAAGGAGCGGCATTTTGCTGCTTCTTTTTGCACCAGAAAAACACTAGATCAGGGCTGCACCATGCAGTTGCCGGGGCCCCAATCTGGTGAGAAAGGGGCAGCACAGAGCTGCTCCTTTGGGGCAGTCTGTTTCGCCCTTAAATCTTCCCCATAACTGATGAAATAAATGTAGTAACTTCCAAAGGCTCAGCCCCCACCTTTCTGGGGCTTTTCTGAGCTAAGGAAAATTGGTGCAAGGTGGAAAATTAGTATATCAGATGGATGGCATAGAGCAAAACTAGGAAGAAAACTTCTGCAAGTTATGACAGTTCCCCCCCCCCGGGTAAAGTTTGAAAAAAATAAACTGAAAAATTTCAGGTCAAGTGAGCTCTCTAGTTGGAAGACTGTACAGAAAACGTTACAGTACATTTTGTGTTCATGTGAGTGCACACTCGTGTGTGCACTGAAGCAGAGAAAATGAAATACATTCACAGAACCAGGAAGAAGGCATGATCCAGCCAATTAAGCATTTTTATGAGTCAATACTAAATTAAGTGTATAAATCTCTCAAGTTTAAATCAATGAGACTTAAAAATTCTTAACTCGGGCTGAGTCATTCCCAGAGACATTAAGGCAATAAACAGTTGTGTTATCCACAATGTTATGCTAATATTCTTCCTATATGATATTCCAAAAGTTTTACAAAACATAAATGTTCCTTGTTAATTTGGGAATCAGAAGTGCCAGAGGTTCCCAGATTCACATGTTGAGTAGTTGTGGACTGAAACATCCATTGTGGTAGCTACAGACATAGTGGCAAGTAAGATTTATATCACTTACAAAATAGTCAAGAGGCACTGAATAGGCATTAGGAGCAGATTCAACAGTGATTTCAATTACTAACATCAAGTCATGAAGGGCTAATTTAACATTTCACTTGGTGAAGACAGAAACAATGTATTCATGGTTTACTGGGATTTGAAATTAGTTATTACCGGTAATAGTCCACATGCACTAAGTCAGATGGAAAAAGAGACCCATGAACAATTGAGAAGGTTCCAGAATCCCTGTACAACAGGTCTTATTCACTCATCTAACTCTTCTGATGCAGGAAACAAGTGGCTTCCCTGGAAGCATATTCACATGAACATGTTTATTCATTTATTTATTACATTCATAACTCATCCTTCCTTCAATGAACTCGGAGTGGTATAATGAACTGTTTTACATCCTTACCAATTGTAGGAGGGAAGTTAGACTGCATGAGCATAATAGCTGAATAGAAATTTGAAACTAGCAGCAATTTTCTAGCATTTTAACCACCCAATGCATCCAGACTGATTAAAGAAACCATAAAGTTCCAGATTCTGTTCCTTTACTTTCCAATTTCATTTTGGAGATCCATACATGTTTAGTTTTCTGTCAGCTCCCAGTATGATCAGAGACTTTTTATATCAGCTCCCCAGGTTGGTTTATTTTAACCCAGTATAAATTGGAAAGGGCAGGAACAAAATCTAGGACTTTTCAATTAGTTTGGATGTGTCTTCTGGGGTAAGCTGAATAATTAAGATATGCAACATCAGAAGCAGTCTGCACTGGATGAGATCTTTCATTTAAAATTGGGAGGACTGAAAAAGCAATCCATTGGGGTGAAAGAATACTTCATTAAACCATTTGATCATCCCCCATTTAAAACTGGCCCAAGGAAATATTTTTCCCACATGACATATAACAACTGAGTTGCGGCTATTGCTACCTTTTACACACGAAATTGTCTACAGACCTCATGCCCTAAATCTAATCTGTACTTCCCCCCATCTGTGCTATTCCTCCCACCTCCAGTATTTTTTAAACCATCTAGCTTGATGTAGATGGAGAACTCAAAAGCCTGAAGATTTGTCCATGGCACTTTGGTTGACTTTGTGCTCATTTGTACTACATCTCATTGTTTCTCTATTCTGCACAAATTATCAAAAGTTAACATACACCATCTAGGAGAAACTGAAATATAACTGAGATTGCAATCCTATGCAAACCAGACCTGGGGAAAATCACACTGAACCTAGTAGAGTTTATTTTTGATTAGGCATGTTTAGAATTTCAATGTTTAGGATTTCATTAAAGAAAAACTGACAAATGTAACATGTAAAAACTTAGCAAGATTCACAGAAGACACTATCTAAATGCCCACAAAAAATCCAGCTAATGCATGGAGAGAGAAAATAAAAGACACATCTCCCTCAGTGAGGACAGGAAAAGGCAAGTGTGGCAACTGTGTATTCCACATTTTGCCTAATGATTGGGAACATTACATTCATTCTTCCCTGAAAGTTTGTGAACTGACAACTGAACACAATATAATGCTATCAAGCTCAAGAGTCCACATACTCTAGTACAATCGTTCTGATCTTTCCATGATTCCAGCAAACTTTGTACCTAGTGTTTTTGTAAACTATTGTCTTCTGAGCTGTCTATACTGTATCTAAGAAAAATGATAAATATCCCTTAGACATCTATGGAATTTCGTATCAGGAATAAAATCAGAGACAAATTGTTCTCAGCAACATACATTAAAAATCTTTGAGCAGAAATAGCAAAGGGATGGAGTCATTATCTTTCAGAAAACACTCAAGGAGGACTGTGGTCAGATAAATGCAATAATTACAAGCTCCCTCATTTTTAGGCCAATTCAAATATTTTGCGTCAATTGCAAGAGGCAAGCTTCCTGAAGATATAAGCTCCAATCAATTAGAAATAAAGACATAGAACTAGAGAAGATTGCAATAGAGAAGGAATATAAAATCAGCAATGGTTTCAGATCTTAATGTGATATGATGTTAGAACTACCAAGGTCTCATTGTGGAAACAAACTGAGCAACAAATGTTGGCATCAGATCCTGATTTAGGTGTATTCAACTGAGCTTGAATATTTGCCCACCCTTTCCTCCCCATAGCAAGAAAAAATAATTATTATTTCCAATGGAAATAAGAGTAACCCCCCTCCCCTGCAATTCATCCTGAAATCTAGCATCTAATTGGAGCTACACAGCTTGTGAACCATGCAGACACCAGCCATTTATGTGTAGGATTCCCTATCCAGTTAGAGTTGCAGATGTGAAACCCTGCTCCCACACATGCAAAGCCTTGATGGATCAGGATGGCTGAATTGACTGTTGCACAGATTAGTGCAGAGAACTGATACAGAAGAGGAAATGGCCTGCACAAAACTCAATGCAAGGCAAGTACATGTAGTTTTGTTTAAGCAATGAATGTATCAGAGAGAGGGAGAAAATAGGAAGGAAAATACACAGAATCCTAGGGCTGTGAGCAAAGGAGTCAGACATACATTTGCTAACTGCAGTTGTGTCTTTCATTTCTCCTTTTGGGAAAGAGAGTAAAGAATTCCCCTAGGAAATTCTCTAATGAGCATCATGGGTAACACTATGTAGCTGTTAGAGAGTCAACATGGTGTAGTGGTTTGAATGTTGGACTATGACTCTGGAGACCAGAGTTCAACTCCCCGTTAGGCCATGAAAATCCACTGGGTAACTTTGTTCAAATCACACAGTCTCAGCCTCAGGGGAAAGCAAAGACAAACCTTCTCTGAAAAAATCTTGCCAAGAAAACTCTGTGATAGGTTTGGCTTAGGATTGCCATAAGTTGGAAATAACTTGAGGCGGCTTTTAAAAACATCTAATTCTAGTATTTGTTGTCTCAGTTGTGAGCCCCTTAAGGAGGGTTTGTAAAGTACCTCACATTACATTTCAAGTACCTCACATTACATTTCCTACTCTATTCCAGCATTAAAGGGAAGACAATTTAAGGTTAAGTTTTTTAAAGAAGCCAATTGTGCTCCTTTTACTGTTTGCAGTTCAAACCAATACCTGAAGCTCAACAGTGTTGTTATTGTTTTAAATCTCTGTGTGAACCATGTGCCTGAGACCAAGATGGGAAAGGAATAGGAACAGGAACAAGGGGATAGCTCTACACAGGTGCACTTTCATTCCCCAGTCTGCCTTACTCCCTCCAACTTATTGAGCCAATTTTCAGCCAACATGTCATAGCAACAGTGTTTTCCATGCATCCTCTACAGATAATACTCAAAACAGCTGAAACAATCTCTGATTTTAAACAGTTCCCCTGAACCCACCCCATCAGTGGAAACTCCCTTCAAACTGTGTACACAGATACTGACTGAAATTGGACAATAAGAACACATGTCAGCCCCCCCAGCCCCCTCCCCTCTACCAACACCTTTCCCCTTGTCTTTGAAGTCCAGCTTCATTTATGGAGATAGGCATCCAACCAGAGTTCTCCAGATTTCTTTAGGGACCTACAGAAGAAGAAGGGAGGCATGAGATGCCAGTGTGATCATGTATTCTAAGCTAGAAAATTCACTTTCAGGCCACATCCCTCTAATATCTGGACTTACAGGAAATAACTTATACTGTGACTTCATTGGCTCAATGTTTGAGACTGGTTGATTTGGCTTGAGTGACACTTTTGGGGATTAGTTCTAATGTGTCATAAAAGCCCATTTAAAGGCCTATAAGATGACTTGGCACCAGGCAATGAATAAGCTGTTTCTATTCTCACTTTCTAATATTTGCCATTCCTTCCATTTAACTATTTCTTCATCATATTTGCATTTTTCCCTGCCACCAAGAAATTCAGGGTAGCACACACAATATCATCTCATTGTTTTCTTATCCTAATAACCCTACAAAGTAAGTTGGTTTAATAGATGGCAAGCTGAATGGCAGCTATGTTTTTAAACAGACAGGTAATTTAAAGCAAATAGGTTGTATGCAGTACAGAAATATTTTAATTTTGGGCCATCTGAGTCTTATACACACTGCTTGTTATGGGTATACATTAGTTTTTGATGTTGGCAGTATGGGCCATCATGTACCTGCACATACACTAAATATATGTTATCTTTTCTTTGCAAAACAGTAGTGAGGGAAATATTCCATTTGGGGCATACAGAAACACTGCTCACATTGCAAGTCGGAGTGTACATGTAGCGAATGACATTTAGAACATCACCATTCTCCATCTCATATAGAGGATTCCCCAAGCCCATTTGTGTTTGCCCAACCATTCTCGTCTGCATTGCATTTTTTGAGGTGAAGGAAGAAAAAGTTTGGTGGGCTGAATCTGACTTATAGGTCTTCGGACATATTTTTAGAGTTGCCATAATTGAGGTGAGGAACCTCAAGCCCTAGGACTGAATCTGGCCCTCTGGGGTTCCCCAGATAGCAATGGCCTCTTCCAATGGCAACATTGTTGGGTGATTTCCCAGATTGGTATGGGTTTTCAAATTTTGTGTGGGTTTTCTTAAGATTTAGCTACTGGCTTTATAGACTTCAAGCAACAATGTACAGTACTGCTATTTTTGGTCTCACCCTTTTGCCTTTGGTCATGTCTTCCCACACTCTCCAGAACTTTCAGTGAAATAGAACTTGGCTATTGGGCTAAAGGAAGTTCCCCATTCTTGGCACTAGACAATTTCATGAGCACATTGCCATTCTCCACCAAGCCTCTTACCCAACAATATCTGAGAATGCCTTCAGAAGAGGCTTTTCTTCATAAGGGACGTCATACTTGGCACAAAGTGACTTCACCAGTGGAGCTATCTTGTAGTAGTTGTGGCGTGGCATTGTTGGAAACAAACTTTAAAAAAAGAAAGAAAGAAACCAGCAGGAATAGAAGATCAAATAAATTCACTTCACTCTCTTCCATTTTTGCTTAAAGGAATAAGGATTGCACTCTAGCAGCACCAGCACAAATACCCTAAAAGCACCAGATCCCATCTGATCTTGGAAAGCTAGACAGGGTAAGGCCTGGTTAATACTTAGATGAGAGTACTAAATGTTGTAGGTGATATTTCAGAGGAAAGAAATGACAAATATGCCTCTGAATATTCCTTGCCTCAGAAAGCCCTATGAAATTCATGAGGTCACCATAAATCAGCAGGCAACTTGAAAGTATGTACACATACATAGCAGCCGCGAAATAAGATAGCAGAGTCCTGATGGTAGAATGGAAGGATGAGGATGGCTTGAATGGTCCCTCCAGTAAAGAAGTAATAAGTTGATTCCTCTTAGTAGAAAATGAGTAGGGTGGGATAGAATTCTGATGTAATAGTTATTAGGGAGCATTTCCATAGAGAAACATTCAAAAATTGAATTTTTGTAGCCCGAATTGTAGGCTGAAACAGAATCCATCACCCACTGCATCCTATGGAATGTGTGCATGTGTATATGGCTAAGAGAAAGTTGTTTAATTAGAACAGACCATACAGTGTTGAAATATTAGCATGATGTTTGGTACAAATGTTTTCTGTTTTGTTTTCAAATGGCAAACAGTACTACATGATATGTGTGGTTTTACCATATTATAATTTTATGCATTGTTGTTGTTCACTGCCTTGGGCACACAACATGAGAAGGTGGGACAGAAATGACACCAACAACTCATTCTTTCCTTTTTAGGAGTTTCCCTTCCTTAAAAGATTACTATCTCTGAATTTATCATGTGGTAAAATTCTTTCATATCCAAATATTGCATACTCACTGGTGCTCTATTTGAAAGTTCAGGTGTCCACTGAACCAGTCATTGAAAAAAGATGGCTCAACATTGCAAGTAGCTGCCAACTGCAAAAGAAAAGTACACAAAATGATGAAGTCCAGAATTGGACAATAATCAAGTGGACTTTGTAAATTTTGCTTTTTTGGAATTATCTGTTGTAATTCCACATTATGCAACCTAGTGCTCAAACAGCCCAATCTTGTCTACTCAGAATAAGTCCTAGTGAATTCTATGGGGCTTATTCCCAGATAAGGAGATTTGGGGTTGCAGCCTAAAGCTACACTCTAAAGAAGTCTTTCAGGTATGTGCACAGGCTTCCATGCATTCACCATATTTAAACAACAATTGTATAAGACAAGACAGGTTTACCTGAGCACTGAGCCAGTCTCTGTGCTTCTCATAGTCAATTTCCATAGGAATGTGATTCATCTGTGTGACCCAAACAAACCAATGACTTTCTAAAAACCTTTGTTAAAAAATAGAAAAGACACACAAACATATTTAGATTCAATCCAATAAATCTGGACTCATTAGCAATAAAAACGGGCATGACAAAAGTCAGTGAAGTAGAATTGTGGCCTCTGTGCTCTACTAAAACAGTTCAAGTATAATCCCTGTTTCAACTAACTTCCAGTGATGTCTTAATTTCAGTCACCCCCATTCTACAGAGACATATCCCTTAGCTGGTTTTTCATTTACCTTTTACCCCAGAAAAAATATTTAGCAGTATGCCTTTATGTGTCATAAGTCTTTTTTAGCCCTCTATTTTCTAATTTATACATTTCTGTCCTCAACAGAGATGAGGCAGTTGTCTGGATAGAATAAAATAAGGAAATGCAATAGATTGAATTTTATGCCACAGTATGAGCATACACACACACACCAGGAATGGGATTACTTTCCACATTGGGTCAAATTTCATATATAGGATATGGAAGACAACAAGGGTACTAGAGGCTCAAGGTGTTCTGAGTCTTGTCTGCACAGGCCAAAAGATACATTTCCCACCCCACCTTGTTCTGGCACCATCTACTTTGGACAATGCATGGCCCAAATCCTGGTTCTGGTGTGGGCAGTTCAGATGACATCAGGCATGTTCCACACCAGAACCAGTGGATAACAATGTAAACATGGAATAATGAAATTTATCCCTTGCTCTGGATTTTCCAGGAAGATGTGATGGGTCTTTATTCATCTCCCTATATCCACATTACCCCAGCATTTCCTTTGTTTGTCTTCTCTCTCTCTCTCCCTCTGTGTTTGAGAGATATAAAATCTCAGAGCAAGTTTCTGATCTGTATTCCTCTTTTCCCTACAGGGATTTCTACCACCACACTTCCAATTTTAATGAACTGTTGGATCCTTATTATTATTTTAATACTGTTTACTGCAATTTTACTAATGCATCTTTTGATAACTTGTAAGCCATTTTGGAAAGATGTGTATCCTACAAAATGGTATATAAATAAAGACAAGCAGGCAGAAAGAATGACAATACAGTTGGTCCTCTGTGGATCCATGGATGCAAGTATCCACAGACTGAAAGTATTTTAAAGAAGTATAAATTCCAAATAGCAAACCTCAGTTTTGCCAATTTATATAAGGCACACAAATTTACTATGTCGCTGTATTTAATGGCTCTTGAGCATCCACTGACTGGTATCCACTGGGTGTCCTGGAGCCAAACCAGGACAAGGGCCCACTGTATACTGCAGCAGACCAAAGTGGGATGAACAAGGAACAGTAGCATCACTGGGGGTGGGTGGGTTGCGGGCTGCACTAGGTTACACCCCAGAAGAGGGGGTGACACCTGGTCGGTCCCGTCCCCCCCACAGGGCCTTAGGCCTACCCCCCAGGTCTTTCTGGGGCCACAGGTCTGCTCCCTGGGGCTGCGCGGGTCCCTGTCCAGCGCACACATGTGCCTTTCCATCCCCCGC